CTTATGAACTTTCTGTGAGCTTCTAAGGTAACACTGTTTTTGCTATAAAAATCATAATGCACACTTGCTCTTTGCCACATGCCGCGAGGCTTCCCAGAGGTGGAAGGTACGGGCTGTGGTCAGCTGGCCAGCTTAATAAAAAGGCTTTCAAATTTAAAATTCTGAGTCGATGGTCTATCTCGTTGAGCCAACCCATAACAATTCCCTTAGCTGATGAATATGATCCTATGTTTCCTAATGATTATGAGAAAGTAGTGAAGCGCCAAAGAGAAGAACGGCAGAGACAGCGGGAGCTGGAAAGACAAAAAGAAATAGAAGAGAGAGAAAAGAGGCGTAAAGACAGACATGAAGCCAGTGGGTTTTCAAGGAGACCAGATCCAGATTCTGATCTTGAAGATTGTGAGCGAGAAAGGAGAAAAAGAAGTATGGGCGGAGCTGCCATCGCACCACCCACTTCTCTTGTAGAGAAAGACAAAGAGTTACCCCGAGAATTTCCTTATGAAGAGGATTCAAGACCTCGCTCACAGTCTTCTAAAGCTGCCATTCCTCCTCCTGTGTATGAGGAACAGGACAGACCCAGATCTCCAACGGGCCCTGGCAACTCCTTCCTCGCCAACATGGGTGGCACAGTAGCACATAAAATCATGCAGAAGTACGGCTTTCGGGAAGGCCAAGGTCTTGGTAAACACGAGCAAGGGCTGAGCACGGCGTTGTCAGTGGAGAAGACGAGCAAGCGAGGAGGCAAGATCATTGTGGGCGAAGTCACAGAGAAAGATGCAACCAAGAAGTCAGGTTCAAATCCATTAACTGAAATACTTAAATGTCCTACTAAAGTGGTCCTACTAAGGAACATGGTTGGTGCAGGAGAGGTAGATGAAGACTTGGAAGTTGAAACCAAGGAAGAGTGTGAAAAATATGGCAAAGTTGGAAAATGTGTGATATTTGAAATTCCTGGTGCCCCTGATGATGAAGCAGTACGAATATTTTTAGAATTTGAGAGGGTTGAATCAGCAATTAAAGCTGTCATTGATCTGAATGGGAGGTATTTTGGTGGACGGGTGGTAAAAGCATGTTTCTACAACTTGGATAAATTCAGGGTGATGGATTTGGCGGAACAAGTTTGATTTTAAGAACTAGAGCACGGGCTACAAGCTGCAAGCAAAAGAAAAAGGTGACAGCCAGTCTGCATGGCTGTTGGGTCCAGAGACTCTTGGAAGGACTATATGTTGATTAATCCCTTTATTTTGTGGAAATATAGTATAAAAATCCTTTAAAAAAAAATAAAAAGTCTCATGCTCTACCGTTGAAAGCTATTTACTACTTGGAATCAGGGAAGTGCCGCGGGGCTTTGTGGGCTGCCCCTGGCGGCGATGCAGCACCCGGGGCCCAGCAAAGGTGTTGAGATGTTGGGACTGGACCTGCAGCTGGTGGTCACCATGGGCTGCACGGGGTTAGGGGGGAAAAAGCTCGTACATTTGATTTGGAAGCAATGTTTGAAGACTCGAAGAACAGCTGTGGAAAGAAGTCGGAAAACACTGGAGGCAAGAGAAAAAGAGGAAGAAATGAACAGAGAGAAAGAATTAAGAAGGCAAAATGAAGATATTGAACCTACATCTTCAGGCTCAAATGTGGTCAGAGATTGCTCTCAATCATCTTCCAGTGATACAAGCATTAGTGGAAGTGAAGCGAGTTCTGATTCCTCTGATGAGTTGATTGGCCCTCCTTTACCCCCTACCATGGCAGAAGAACCTGTTGATCGTATGGAGCAAGCTATTGGTCGTTTACCTCCACCTCTTCACAAGGAAGAGGTAGATGGTGATGATGATGATGGTGATGATGATGATGGTGGTGGTGATTCAGAAGAGGAGGAAAATCCTGTTCAAAAGATCCCTGATTCTCATGAAATAACGCTGAAGCATGGCACGAAAACAGTTTCTGCTTTGGGTCTGGACCCCTCAGGTGCCCGCTTGGTGACAGGAGGATACGACTATGATGTTAAGTTTTGGGATTTTGCTGGAATGGACGCTTCTTTTAAGGCATTTGGATCCCTTCATCCCTGTGAATGCCATCAGATCAAGTCATTGCACTATAGTAACACAGGAGACATGATTCTTGTTGTATCCGGAAGCTCTCAAGCCAAAGTGATTGACAGAGATGGTTTTGAAGTAATGGAATGTATAAAAGGAGACCAGTATATTGTGGACATGGCCAACACCTAGGGTCACACAGCAATGCTTCATACTGGCTCATGGTATCCCAAAATAAAGGGAGAATTTATGACTTGCTCAAATGATGCCACTGTGAGGACATGGGGAGTTGAAAATCCAAAGAAACAAAAAAGTGTGTTTAAACCACGGACGATGCAGGGTAAAAAAGTGATTCCCACCACGTAGAGATGGAAGCCTCATAGCAGCTGCCTGCCAGAACGGAAGCATACAGATCTGGGACCGGAACCTGACGGTTCGTCCTAAATCCCACTACAAACAGGCTCATGACCCGGGTACAGACACTTCTTGCGTGGCTTTTTCCTATGATGGTACTGTCCTTGCCTCTCGTGGAGGTGATGACACATCAAAATTATGGGACATCCGACAGTTTAATAAGCCACTTTTTTCAGCCTCGGGTCTTCCCACCATGTTTCCAATGACTGACTGCTGTTTCAGTCCAGATGATAAACTCAGTAACCGGCACATCTGTCCAAAGGGGATGTGGCAGCGGCAAACTCGTTTTCTTTGAGCGCAGAACTTTCCAGAGGGTGTATGAAATAGACATCACGGGTGCGAGTGTGGGCCGCTACCTGTGGCATCCAAAGCTGAACCAGATCATGGTGGGAACTGGAAACGGGCTGGCGAAAGTCTATTATGATCCCAACAAGAGTCAGAGGGGAGCAAAATTATGTGTGGTCAAAACCCAGCGGAAGGCGAAGCAAGCCGAGACTCTGACCCAGGACTACATCATCACCCCTCACGCCTTGCCGATGTTCCGTGAGCCCCGCCAGCGGAGCACCAGGAAGCAGCTGGAGAAGGACAGACGGGACCCCCTGAAGTCGCACAAGCCCGAGCCTCCTGTGACGGGCCCAGGTCGTGGCGGCCGGGTGGGAACCCACGGCGGCACCCTGTCCACATACATCGTGAAGAACATTGCTTTGGATAAGACCGACGACAGCAATCCCCGGGAGGCCATCCTGCACCACGCCAAAGCCTCGGAGGACAACCCGTACTGGGTTTCTCCAGCCTATGCCAAGACTCAGCCCAAAGCCATGTTTGCACAAGTTGAATCTGATGAGGAAGCAAAGAATGAGCCAGAATGGAAAAAACAAAATCCGAAGAATCTCATATGAGAGCTGTTCGCATGAGGGGGAGCATATTGAACAGGTTTTTTTTTTTTTTAATGCAATGAAAAATACATATAAAAAAATAAAAGCCAAAGAACAAGAAGCCCCATCACCTGTCCTCGCCCACCACCTGTGCTTAGTTAAGATGAGCTTGGACTGGAGGAAGGTGGCCTTAACCCGATACAGTTGTGTCTTTATAACAAGGGGGGTTGGCTCAGACACTCAGGGTCTCAGGCAGCAGGGAGAGGCAGGCGTATGTGTCCATTTCACAGTTCATGGGAGGTGTGTTTTGTTTTGTTTTAACAATGAAAGTTTTAATTTTTTTAAATTCAGTGAGGTAACTGGCTAACAACAAAGTCTAGTTTCCTTCTCTTACCATACATTTGACCCCCTTTACCCAACCACCCTCTCCCTTCTACTCCCTTCCCCTCTGGTACCCACCATTTTGTCGTCTGTATTTAGGAATCTGTTTTGTTCATTTGTTATTTGCAACAACATGGGTGGGTCTGGAGCTGTTATGCTAAACGGAATAAATCAGGTGGAAAAGGACAAAACCCGCCTAATTTCACTCACTGGAGCTCTTTGTGCAAAATGAAAAGAGGGGCAGAGGGTGGCAGTGACTGGGCCAGACCCTTGCCGCTCGGAGGGGAAAGGCGGGGAGGGGGGCAGCACCGAACACGGGCAGAGGGCCAAGTCTCTGAGGCCAAGTTTGCAGGTGACAGCAGTTAACTCTTACCCAGACCTGAGGGGGATCAGATAGCGCACACTTAGCTGATGATGACTTGATGGTTTAAACCAACAGGTCAGAAACTTAAGGATGTGATTCCCTGGAACTGTTCAACCAGCCCGAGGCTATGCAGTGGTAGCGTTCTCCTCCTGGAGGTCCAGCCCCTGGAGACAACCTCGAGTGGGAACGCAACTCAGGCGCAGGGTCTACAGCTTGCAGGGAGCTGGAGACCCTCACAGCACTGGTTACACCTGCCACACAGTCACCCTTTTACAAAGCATAGCGCCCTCTCGTGGGACCTTGTTAAATACCATGTGTTTCCAATTGAGCAGCCCAAGGAGCCCAGGGTTGGAGATAGCTCACTTGTTCTCACATTGGAAGAATTTACACATCAGAGGTTAACGCTTTTGTATAGGTTTACTTTTTATACTTTTATTGATTTCAGAGGAAGGGAGAGGGAGAGAAAAACATCAATGAGAGAGAATCATTGATTGCTTGCTTCCTGCATGCCCCAAACTGGGGATCAAGCCCCCAACCCAGGCATATGCCTTGACTGGGAATCTGAATCGTGACCTCCCGGTTCATAGGTCAACGCTCAACCATGGAGCCACGTCAGCTGGGCTCTTTGTATAGGTTTATATACAAAGGCCAGGGTTTTGTTTTAATCCTCTGACAAAAGCATGGAGGACAAAAGCAATAGAGAGCTCTTGGGGTGATAGCCCAGTCCTAAATAGTCTGTCTCCCTTCTAGTAGGGAAGCCCAAAGCCCCACCCCAGCTTTTCAGGATCAGCAGGCGAAACCTTGCAGCTAAGTTAGCCCCATGCAACTTCACACCACCCCCCTCCATAGCTGAGTGGGCTAGGAGTGGAACCTTGATCCAACCTGGGACAGTTTCTGGGAGAGGAAGTGAGGGGGCACTCCTGGTGAAAGCTGGAGGAGATGGACGTGAGGTGGGTGTAAGGAAGTAGAGGTGGAGGGGATCTATTCCAGGGACACTTTGCAGGTGGTCCTTGAGTGTGGCTTATCTAAGCTTGTTTACAAACTCCGGGGAAGGACCCAGGAGAGAGAGGAAGATTCCTAGAGGGGGAAGGGCCCTGTCCCTCCAGGACATGGACTAGTTCAGACGGGAGCTGCCCGAGGGAGCAGCTCACCCGCCATGGCCATGCTTCCTGCTGCTCCTGGCACAGCCCTTTACCGACACTCTTAAACCAACAGGAAGGAGGAAGTCAAACCAACAGGAAGCCTGGACATGAAAACGTGAGGGTTGCAAGTGAGCAAGTAGGTTTAAGTTCAGAACTCCTGTCCCATCCCTCCTTTCTCTCTGTTCCTCCCCGGAGCTTCTGAGAGCAGGAGCCGCACAGGCCTCCTGTATGTTCCCCTTTAAGGAAGGGGAAACAGGGCTGAGGCTAAGCATGCTCAGGGCGAGGTGGATCCCCATAGAGCCGCGTCCCCAGCCCTCATCTCACTGCAAAGCATCAGCAGAATTGACCAGAACCCATCTCCCTCTGCAAGGGGAGGCTGTAAGGCCTCTTACACACCTAAAACCAGTTCTAAGGGTTTCGACCAAGTTATCCAGCCTGCAACCCCTTTATCCAAAGCCAGCCTCCGACTTCTCAAGGAAGATCTGTTTGAGCTGTTGCCCGAACAGCATGTTTGTAAGCCATGCTAATTTACGCTTCGGAATTTAATGCAAATTCAGGTGTTGCTCTTGATGGTCATTCGCTCTAGAACATGTTTCAGCAAATTCATTCAGCTCACTTGGTGGGCCCTTAGCTAAGTGTTGAAAAACACGTGGTCCCTGTTCCCATTACTGTTTCCCAGGTGGTGGACAAGGAGGCTGATCAATCCAGCAGGCATGGGAGTGAGTGTGGAACAAATACTACTTGAGAACTGAATTGAAGAGACTGGCTTTCAACACTCCCACCAAGATGCCAGGGAGGCAGCTGGTTATAGAAGTGTACAGGTTTACACAGGCAGGTCAGGGTTTTGTTTTAACAAAAGCATGGAGGGCAAAAGACAGAAGTGCCTGTGCTGACATGTAGAGCAGTGAATCGCTGGGATAGAGACCTTTCAGGGTCCACATTGAAGTCTGAGGGCACCCTCTGTTAGGGATCTACCAGGCATGTATCTAAAATGCAAAGTGCCCCCTCGGGAGTTCGACCAGGAGGCCAAGTTCGATTGCTCACACTGACATGCACTGACGACCAGGGGGCAGCGTGGAATGATGGCCCCGGCAGTCCTGATCACCAGCCAGGCCTAGGGGCCCTGCCTGTGTAGAATTTCTTGCACTAGGCCTCTAGTTCTCTTGTAACGAAGGTGTGTGTGGGGAGCAGGAAAACCCGAGGAAAAAAGTGCTGGAACCACAGCCAGGCACAGCTGACGCCGGCCAATTGAGCCCTTACAGCTGAGAGATCACCGGCAGAGGAACCAGGGGAATGACCCCCAGCCCTCTCCTTTCAACCCCGTCAGCTGCCTGCCAATCATGTTGTTTGTAGAAGTACTTTTGATTTTTATTGCCATCTTCATCCCCACCCTACCCCAAACTTCTGAAGCCCCCAGACCAACATATAACTTACATAGAGCCTAGCATGCGCCCAGGGGGTTGGTTTAGAGTCTCATTTTGAATAGCGTTAAGTCCAACAAGACTTTGCACACCTGCATACGGGTTACCAGCTTGCAAGAGCTGGGGGTTGGTGCCTCAGTTTTACATCCCAGTCCATCACATGAATGCTCTAGGGGTGAACCTCAGTTGTCACACCTGCTCTTAGCCCCAGTCCCATTAAGGCCTGATCATTAAAACCCTGTTTCTCAGAACAGCCACAGCCCCACTTGTTTTGCATTTCTGCTTTAGAAATCACACCGCTTTGCACAAAGTCAACATTTCTAGGGTCCTTTCAGTTCACAGAACTGCCTTCACATCCATTGCTTTTTGATTGAAGGTTGCATTTGGGGTGCTGGGTCATCTATGGGAGCATCTACCATGTGCCAGGAATAGACATACTCCAGACAGAAGTCAGGGAAGGGAGTATCAGAAGTGTTTGTAAGGGCTGGAAGGTTGCAATTTAAAAATAAGGTAGTCAGGGTAGGTGACTGTTGACACTTAAGCGTAAGTACTTTTGGCCAAGTAATTCCAGGTGGAGAGCAAGTATCAGAGGCCCTGGAGCGCCAAGGTCACCTTGCAGGAGAAAAGCAGGCAGGGAGGGTACAGCTGAGGGTAGAGGGCTGGTGTAATGAGAATCCCCGAGGCCTATCAAAGGGCCCAGGTAGGCCATCTCAAGGACTTTTAAGCTTTTACTTTGAAGTTTGGGAGTTCCTGTAGTTTTTAAATTGAGATTTGATTTTCAATCTAACACACACCCAGGCTGCAATCTGGAAAACAGACTGAGATTGGAGGGGGGAGAGGGGAGAGATGGGGGCAGGAGCACAAGCCAAGAAATCAAATTGGACACACCTGCAGTCAATAACCCAGTAACAGCCAAGGGGAGGCCAGGAATGAACCTGGATACATTTTGAAACGGAATTTCCCGTTAGATTAGAAAGTCAAGGATGTAAGCCCAAGCTAGAAAACAGTGAAGTAGAGAGAGGTACTTTGTATGCTCTCACGTTTACCCTGTCCCCCAACTCCGAGAGACAGGACCCCCTCACACACCCAAAGGTGAGGCTCCAAGTAACAGGCCTCAGAGCCCTTGATTTCCCCTATGAGCCACTGCCTGGATCTTACAAGATGAAATCCCCTTTTTCCTTCCGCTTTCTCAGATGAGGACAGAAACCCTGGGTTTCTTAGAACCTACACCCCTCCCCCCGCCCCCGCCTCTTGCTTTTCTTGGCTTTCTTCGCTTTCTAAAATAGACTTTTGAGAAAGCTCG